TTTCCGTCTTTCCTTGTTGACCATAAAAGGATTTTATACCGGCATGCACCCCAAACAATCTCAAAACGATTTGTTTGGACCATGTTAGTCAAAAACGATTTCTTGGTACGCCCTACCTTCCCCCCCAAGAGCAAACTGATTCATCAATGATTTTTGTCTGCATCCACATCTCTATTTGTTCGGCCATACTCCTCTCCAGCTGTTGACCATATTATTCATGAAAAACTGACAATGTCCAACGCGTCTCACGGGCACGTTGTCGGGCGCCACATCTATCAACAGTACGAGACGGGCCCCTACGCGAACTCGCTTCTTTCGCGGGCATCCGATTGGGCGCCACTCAGCACTCTAAACACTCGGTCACAGAGTTCAGGGGTGCGGCCAGTCAGTGTGGCAGGGCTGGTCAGCACGGCCAGAGGACAACAGCAGCTTAAGAGAAGGACAAGAGGAGCACAAGACCCAGCCACAGAGCCCGGCCACAGAGTTCAGGGGCGCGGCCAGTCAGGGTGGCCAGGGCTGGTCAGCGCGGCCAGAGGACAACAGCAGGACAAAAGAAGGACAACAGCAGGACTAGAGGAGGACAAGACCCCGGCACAGAGCCCGGCCATAGAGTTCAGGGGCGCGGCCAGTCAGTGTGGCCAGCTCTTTTTTTTCAGAACTCCAACAGTAAACTGGTTGGGGAATAAAAGGTTGTTCCACGGGAGTCAAAGGCATGTGTAAACCCTTACTGCCATGAGTGTAATTAGATTTCCCCAACTTTGGGCCAAGGCTTCTGGGGATGTGTGACGTGCACTGTGCACGCCCGAACAACCAGTATACATGAGGGGGTCACTGCGCGTTGGATATTAAAATGTGAAAAGCCAAACTTGTGATAGTTACACAAACATGCTGCATGGCTGCACCATCCTGGCTCTTGCCTAAGCACTGAGCATCAAAATCGAGCAAATTCATGGACTATTGGTCCAAACATCTGCCTTCGTATCGTTGGTCCTCTTTGGCAAATAATAGCCGAAGCCCACAATACTCATCGAAGCACTTTGGCTCCTCCTGTAAGTCTTATCTGCAGTTTTGCTAACTATTCTGTCTCTGTGCTTCTCGGATCTTCTCGGTATTGCAACGCTATAGGTTCCTTTGCTTTATTCACTACCATCCCTCATTATCCAAGATCAATGATTGGACGGTGCAAGCTGTTCCTGCGACGTGGCATGGTACATGAATGACAAAGCTTCAACTATATACTCCTCCATTCCGCAACCTGCCAAAAAGTGACCAAAGCCTTGGGCCATGCAAAGCGAGTGCACTGAGGGTGAGCTTGGGATCTGGGGACTGTGCAAATGTCGATCCGTGATCCTAGGTATTCTCTTGGTTAGCTCCGAAATTGCTCCCCTCGAATTTGGCTAGCTTCTCGATTCCCTGGCACAACAACAACAACAACAACAAGAAAAAGCAATGACTGCAGGTCAAGGAGCGGTAGGATGCCAGCGAAACGCATAGCATGCACAGCCTCGTCATCATTAGGGTTGCGCAAGCAAATATCGAAAACCAAGTATGCACGCGGAAACACGCCCAAAGATGTACAACGTAACGCGATATGTGAAGCTAGTAATCCTAGTGAAAGTGCAAACAGAACCTCAAACTACCTCAAAGATTTAGGTAAACTCATGTCACACAGGGCCAAAATTTGGGTGTCAAAAGTCACGAATAGATCTTGAGAGCTCCCTGCACAACCGATCTGTGCTTGCAGATTTGATTCCTTTGAGGGGGCTCCGGCGAGGTTTGATAGCTTAAACCTCATCACTGCGGAAGACGTTGCAAGTCGTTTCTTTTCGACATGGCTTGACTGGTTAAGGACTCCCCCCTCTAGCTGATGGCTTCTGCGTATGTCTTAAAGCCAGGTTCCACCAAATGTTCCATACATTTTGAGCCACTTCTGATCAACGCTCTACCATCATCTACCTGCAAGTTTCGGCGGAGATGACTTCATACTGTCATACAGTCCACTCAACCTTCTCTATTCCGCCAAGAGACACGCTGACAAAGGCTTGGAAGATATAGCCATTGGTGATCGTGGAGGCCACCTCAAGTTTCTTCCAGGTTTCGGCACGCAAGGGATCTCAAACCCCATCCATGGATGCAGCACCTCACCCATCCATGTGGCCCAAGTTGTCAATGCGCCACACAGTCCAGAAGATAAGCCAGTGGCCAAGTGCCTTACTGAAGAGCCCGTCAGGCCAGCGTTGAATGTGTTGATGCATTCAGACCATTCATGGATCGTTCAGTGCTGCAGCAATCAAGCTACTGATTCATGGCTTTCTTGTGCCTGGGAGAACGAAGGCATCAAGAATGTACGGATGTCAGGTGTAAACATAAAAATAGAACAGTGTGAAGGAAAGAACCCGGCCTAGCAACCGCAGCCATCAGAATGCAACCCAGCACATTCTGAAAGAAATACCCAGCAGCATGACTTTGCTCGTAACCTTAGCTGAGGACAAGGTTCAAGCCCAAGAGCATTTCGGCAATTCGAGAAACTAAGGAATTGTGCTGCTCGAATGATTTGTATGATTGCCCAAATTGTCTGGTCCTCTGTTTGGAGCTTAAGACGAAGACATTTGTGAGAGTCTTTCACGAGGAAAGGTCCTGGACATCAATCAGCCCAGTAAAAAGTGAGCTTCTTAATTGGCTTCAGCTGAGTACAGTCCAAGCAGGTTAAATCTCCTGACCGCTGCTTTAGAGTAAGCTCATCCATACCGAGTTCTTCAAAAAAACAGCCATTCCATCGCATGTCCACGTGGGGCAAGCAAACCCCCTTGAACCCCCAACTTCAATGTTGGCATGCACTTCTCCGCAAGTCAAACCAAAATGGCTGTTTTATTTTTGAAGGCCTCAGCATCGAGAGGTCACACAACTTTGAAGTTGGGGGTCCGGGGGCGTGGAGAAGGTAAGAAGGGTTCCAAAATACATGGCTGTTTTTTTGAAGAACCCCGTATGTTGTTCATTTATCATGTCCTCACTGAAGTCCATCGTCCTGGCTTTGATGTGGTGACGCCAAAGTCAAGATGACCAAGCCATAGCGCAATGGAAACTCGAATTGCCTGGAAGCAATCGACATCCACATGAGGTACGGTCAAGAATTTATCATGTGCGGCTGTTGCATCCTCAGATCTGTGAGTCCCCTATCGGATCTGTTGTTTTCCAATGTTTTGGAACCTTGTTGGAGGGTATCGTTTTATGTGAGTCCCGTACCGTTTGCCAGGGTTTGGAGCATGCCCGCGTATGAATGCAACCCTCATATGCAATCCTAATCATTGCAATTATTGAAGGCACTTCACACGCTCTTCATGGGCTCATCGGCATGTGTCCGCACTAAAAGTCTCCATCTCAGCAATCTGAATGGCTGGGCTATTCCGTATGTGTCCCTCTGCAGCCCTCTATTGATTATCCTGCAATTCTCCTATTTGATCCTATTTGCAAACATCAAGCTCATCTAAAGCCAAGCTGCACAACCTAGCAATGCAAAGAAAGCAACCGAGAACGCAGTGATGATCTTGGAGTCACGCTGAAAGATTGATCTACCAGCCCTGCGCTCAGCAGCTTTTGGCCCCGACGCATCCACACAATCGAAAAGAACCAACCAAACTGAATCATCTCGTGCAGTCTCAGCGGCATGCGAGGCAAGCGGCATGATGAGGCAAACAAAAGGTAAGCTTCAAAAGGACTTGCATGAGACTTTCATCTATATAATCGTCTTGGGCCCTTCAAACAGTTTCTGCAAGCTTCCAGATTCTAGATTCTAAATTATACACTAGTCTTGTGGCTTTGGAACATGTTCCGAATTCTTGCAAACTCTCTTGGAGAGGCCAACTGAAGCCAATTCTGAGGGCAGGTTTTTCCCACACTACAATTCAAGATTTCTTGATCTCTTTGTCCATTGTACGCTCTTCCTCCGTGCCGGACTGAGTGCGCAGCTCAATGTGCAAGACACGGCAACTTCAATGCTCGGGCGGTCAAGATTGGTACAATATGGCTACCCAGCACAAGCAAGTTCATGTGATTTCCTGAGAGACTTCTTCACACGTGCGACGGTATTAGGCAGGTTCGGAAGCCGGCCATCTTCTGTCAGACCATCCAGCGCATACACCTGTACGCATCTTGGTCTACATTACATGTATGCCAGATTCGAATGTATATATAATACATATATATGTGACATATATATATATATGCTACCCCCCTGAAATGTCTACCTTTTTGGTTTTCTAGCATGGTTTTTAGTCATGTGATTTGAATGCAAGAATCTAAGCAGTACGGCGGACCAATGCACACAGAAATGGGCAAATGTTTCCCAAGGTAAGGAAATTAGAGAACAAAGATACATTCCAATTCATATTGTTAGTTGTATCTGATGATTGCAATGCAATTGCAAATATAAGAATTGATGGATATGATATAATTGATTGTGTGAATGTCAACATTATCGACGATTTTACATTGGATTTGAGTAATTCAAAGTGTGAATCTGATGGTGTACAAGTGTGAAGACACCACCACAAAAAAGAACATAACAATTTGCAGAATTAATTGTGTACACGACAATGAACAATATGATATATGAGCACTACAAGAAGCTACTAGGAACAAGTGCATCGCTACTAGTAACAAGTGCCTTACTAGTAGTAACAAGAAGCTACTAGGAAACACATACTGTCTATCCTTCTACAGGGTACGCCTTAGTCACTCTTTCACCCCCCCCTCCCCTACCCCACCCTTCCAAAGAGTTCTGAGGGCCCCCCCCTCCCCCCCTCAGGAATACTGAGTAAACTTCCACTCCACTTTCACTCCACATAGTTTATATAGGAATGATGATCTTAGATCATGTGGATGCGAGCATGTATATGTCATGGGGTACTGCGCTCATATATACAAAGCATGTGCACATGAGGTGATGTGCATACTGATGTGCATATACACGCATGTAACCAGAAGCAACCACTGATTTTGAGGGGGGGTACCATATATATATATATATGCAAGGCTGCAAGACCATACAGGCTTCAACTGAAAATATGACTTGTTGCACGAGTGCACCGAGTGTACCAGCAAACAAAGCTCTTGGGTAGTAGGTGTGTTGAGCATGTGCGGGCAGGCATCAAGCAGTAGCCCTCCTGCTGGGTTGGACAACAACCAGGACGCAGGGGTCGCCACCGCGGACGCAGTTATCTTTTCTGAGAGAACCTCTCACAGTAAATTGATATATATATATATATATACACATTCATACTGTTTTTGAAGTTTTGATTTGAATGGGTTTGGTTCTTTGCAGCGTGATCACCAGCCGGGTTGGCACCTGACTCAGTGGGATGCCAGCCGGAAATCAAACCAACTTTGGACACATGTATGGTGACACCAAGTACACTGTCTGGGGACAATGATCTCGGAACAGCGTCGCCCCACCACCCGCACCCACTTCCCATGCATGCCAAGGCAAGATCATTGATGATGCAATGATGTCACTTCCTCTAAGCCTCTAAGCCATCCAAGCTTAAAACCGCTGTCAGGGCAACCGGGGGCATGGTTCCGAGACAGGAAACATGTACACGAACTGCAAAGACTCATTCACATGACCAGTGAGTGCATGGATCCTCGCTTCAAAACAGTTACACTGGGCGCCTCTAGTCTAGGTCTAGGTGATTCTTTGATCGGCATCGACGCAGCGAAATCTCAGCGGGCCCAGCCCTTCCTTTTATCCCCATACTTATATGTCTGTGTATATGTCTGCAGTCGTTCTTCTTGTTCTTGCCCGCTCATCCTCAACAACCTGAGCTTTGCAAAGGCTGCGAGGGCATGGAATCGCAAAGGGAGATTGCATGCTTGTGGGATATGTAGTCACGCTTGACGAGCCCTGAGACTTTCACATTCAAAGGGAGCATAGCAACGACTGCAGCCACAAGTATGACGCATTTGTGGAAGCCTTTGTTATCTATACATCCGTCTTTGCCTCCGGCAGGGCCAAGTCAACCTGCAACACACTCTGAACAACTCAAGTGCCAAAGCTCTTTTGCTTCCCCTCAACAACTGCAATGCATCAGCCTTATATTTTGACATGTTTGACAACAACTGTGAGCCGTCTCTGCCTCATGAGTGACCTTGAAGACACCTGCAGCAGCAGCACCACCAATAATCTCAAACGTGGAGTACGCCAACGCCTGCCACATGTCATCGATTTTCTGAAACTTGGGCTGCTTCCTTGCTGACTTGTTCTGGTTTCATATTATATAGCAAGGAGTGTGTTTTCATGTTTCTTTGAATCCAAGATCAGAACCATACCTTGCCAAACATGCTTGCACTCTCTTGTCTTGGCTTGATTTCTCACTACTTCACCTTCACCTGCACTCACAAGGGGCGAGGCTTGCAACAGGAGGCCTTCAGCAACATTGTGCTTGTAAAAATTGATGGCGCTGCAAGGCCAATCCTAGAGCTGCGCAGTGCCCCAAGAGGAAAGCATGGATGCAATGGCAACATCACATGCTTTAAAAACGTAATGCCCAGCAAAGCGCTTGAGCACAATGCTCCGCAAACCGCAAACCGTTTCAATGTGTTTGAACGCTCAATCGTGGAGCGGATGTCTTCCAGCATTCAAGGTCGAAGTGGCTGAGTTTTTAGGGTGGTGTAAGCAAGTCATGGAGCACCACCAGGTGTGGGCCTTGCCTGGAAAAAGTACCCATGCATTTCCTTGCTGTTCTCTTTGTAGGGTTTTAGTTTGAGGCGTTGTGTAGGCTGATGCAGTTGTCTGACAGAATGCAATGGTGCAAAAGATCATCGTGGATCCATGTGCTGGGGTTGCCCTTCTGACTTGCTGGTAGGTAGTCACAGCACGGATGTCCACTATGTGGCATTGGTACCAGCTGGCAATGCATTTTCGCAGCACAAACGAACAGGTGACTTTCTTAGATACCGTACGCCCGGCGGCATCAAAGCTCCGTCAACTCGGCAGTATTAAGGCAGTAGATTCATGGGGTGAAACACTCAATCAATTAGTGAGAATCCAACGCACGCAGAAACACTAGATCCAAATGTGATTCACGGTGGTTTCAGCGCTCCCTTGCGGGAGATGACACCCTGCACCCAAGTGGGACGGCAGAGCGGCACGCACTTAGACAAAGGGTTTTCAGTCAACTCAATCCCACGCGAAAAAGAAAGAGGGAACAGAACGGCGATGGAGTCAGCTCACTTGAAAAGTTGAACAAGAGTTGAAATCAGCTGTCAACAAACTCGCGGCAGGCTGCGGTGGCGCAGCGACACGTCTGGTTTAGGGGTCTATCGCGCAAGGACCATGAAATCAAAGAACAGCAGGAAGAGTGGGGTAGTGTCACGATCGCAGGTACGTCAGTTCCGCGTCCGGAACTGATATCCTCACCGGGTATTGCCAGCTTCGTTGGTGGAGAAGCAATACCGGTGTCTCCACCCACTGCATCGAACAAGTGTAACCATCAGAAAAGAACTCTTCGGGACGGAGTGCGACACACTTAGACAATGGGTTTGCAGCTACATCAATCCTCGAGGAAAAGAATGGCTTAACGGAAAGGTGAAGCTTCCAAGCACTTGTAGGTGTTTGAACAAAGGAGTTTCTCTCATCTGCCGAAGACTGCGGTGGTTCAGCAGCAGCTCACGAGCTGGAAAGCGGCGGAGGGAAACCTGTTTGTCGGGGAGGTATCGTGCGAAACCACCATGAATCAAATCGAAAGTGGAAAAGCGTGAACAACAGTTTCAGGCGTCAGCAAGCGTCCTTGCTGATATCAGCGCATCCTGAAGAGCCTCTTTGTTAGATGCCCTCTCTTCAGGTGTGGGGCATGAACAGAACAAAAACTCTTTGGAACCGAGGGTGACACACACACACCCCGCCGCTTTGCGGCGCCCTCGCGGAAGACCTAAATAGGCACCTAAAAAGCCTGAGAAACAAGAGAAAGAAAACCAGAAAGAGCAGCGGTAAAAAGGCAAGAGAGAAAGATAGGTGTAGCAAAAGTGAATACTTAGCCCTTGACTGGGATAGGGAAACGAGCCTCAAGAACAACCAAAAAAGCCTGAAAGAAAGCCCAAGAAACGACAAAAAGCGCAAGAAAGAAAGGGGGGGGCAGGGAGGTGTGTGTACATGTGTGTGTCCGTGTGCGTGTATGAATACCTAGCACTCTACAATTACTGATTACTTAGCAGAAGTGAATTAGGTGCAATAGTTAGGGAGCGGGACTTTAGTCTTAAACCGCCCGGGTAGAGTAGACTAGAAAAGGGACAGCAGAGGGAAAGGCACCGTACCATTTCCTCCTGTTACCCTAATTAGAGGGGGGGTTGGGGTGTTTGGGGGAGAGAACTCGTCGGGTTTTTTTCTCCGTAAGCCCGCCTGCTTCGAATTACCGTATACCCGGCGGTATTGAGCCAGGAAATTCAGTGGTTGAGAAGAAAATCAGAAAAGATAATCCAACGCGTGCAGGAAGCAACAAAGTGTACTCCGGCGTGACCAGTGACGGGGATCACACTCTGCACCCAGTGGGACGACAGAGCGGCACACACTTAGACAATGGTTTTGCAGTTACATCAATTCCCCGACGAAAAGAATGGCTCAACGGAAAGGTGAAGCGTCCAAGCACTTGTAGGTGTTTGAACAAAGGAGTTTCTCATCTGCGGAAGACTGCGGTGGTTCAGCGGCAGCTCACGAGCAGTGGAAAGCGGCGGAGGGAAACCTGTTTGTGGGGGAGGTATCGTGCGAAACCACCATGAATCAAATCGAAAGTGGAAAAGCGTGAACAACAGTTTCAGGTGCAGGTACGTCAGCAAGCGTCCTTGCTGATATCAGCACATCCTGAAGAGCCTCTTTGTTAGATGCCCTCTCTTCAGGTGTGGGGCATCCCCCTGCGACTTGGGTGAACAGAACAAGAACTCTTTGGAACAGAGGGTGACACACACACACACACTCGAGATATTGCGTGCTGAACTGAATGCCTCATGCCACACGGCTGCCTAGGTGAAAAAGAATCCTTAGTAAGCATGATTAGACGTGTATATAAGGGGTTCTGATGATTCGGAAAGGTCAACGTTTAGGCCATCGCTTTTAGGTTGGAGGCCAGCGCATCTAGGTGGGAGGTCATCGTAACAGGTTGGAGGCCATCACCAGTAGCTTGGCTTCGAGCAAAACAGAACTCACAGCAGCAAGGCTCTCAAGGTTGGAGGCCAGCACTAGTAGGGTGGAGGCCATCACAACAAGGTTGGAGGCCCTCGCTACAAGTCTGGAGGCCATTAAGACTAAAAGCACGAAACGCAAGTTGCGTAAAGGAACAGAACCACATGAGCCACCATGAAAGCAAGCCACAGCAAGAACAACAGGTAACCAGTTGGGCGGGTACGATTACAAGTTTACACGGGTCCCAGAGGAGGTCTTCGTTGACCATCGCTCCTCTGGGACCCCCATGGCCGCCCGCCATTTAGAAAACCAAAAAGGTTCCCTGTGACTGTGACTCTTAGACCCATGCTCGCAAAAGCTAAGTCAGCTGTGAAAATCCCGAGCTACTGCAGTTTAGACCTTGACTGAATTACAGTGAAGCAACGCATGAGACAGCTTGAGCTTTTCTTAGGGTTCTAGGCAATCACTGCAGTTTAGACCTTGACTGAGCTACAGCGAAACAACGCATGAGACAGCTTGAGCTTTACTTAGAGTTCTAGGCTAGGTACTCAAAAAAAAGAAATGCAGGTACGTCCGGCTGGCCAAGTTGGATATCCCATTTCACTGGTAGCTTCATTGAACACAGTCCCAGTGAAATGCTGAGTCCCCCTGCATCACTGTACAGTGAAAGTTAGGGATCTACTTACAGTCTGGTGGTGTCAGACGTCCTTAGGGACAGGACTTGACACACACATGGAGCCGATTTCGGCGCACACTCCAACGCTTGGAAAATGCGGCAGGCACTTGACTAAAAAGCCTGATTACCAACCAGGGGTCCTTACAAACAGGACTTGACACACACACACACACATGCACTATCATTTGGATAGTTTTGGTTTGCTCTTGTTTACGAGACCCCGGCAAATCTGAGCATGTAGTTCAACTCATGACAGGCCTGTGCAGTTTGTATCATACGTGTCCAACTGCAGCCAGGAGGCGATACTGCCGGATTCAATGAGCCACCAGAGATGCTTCCAATGGCGAACCCTCCAACCGTGACACAGGATCCAATGGCAAATCCGAACATGTTGGAGGTTTTTGTGTGCTTTGACACAGCCACACATAGCACCACATAGGACAGCACAAACGTAAAGATAGCTTCTGCAACTGAAACTCCAGCCCACGTGTTCGTCCCAGTCGGGCCAAGACCAAGTTTGCCTCCTTTGTAAACAAATGCACTTGTCAACGCCGCAGCAATGCCACCGGCAATCTGCACACCTGCGTATGTGCCAGCCTTGGCTGGAGTGAGCTCAGGGCAACGGCCAGATGCCAAGATGGCCACCGTCACAGCAGGATTGAAGTGGGCACCGCTGACATCACCAAGGGCATAAATCATTGACGTAAGGCTTGCAGCAATCGAGAACGCAGCAGCTTTGGACTTGCCCAAAATGTTCAGTCCCACAGTGAGCACCAACATGTAGGTGCCCAGGAACTCACTCACAAGCTCTGTGATCTGTGACTTCTCTCCGCCGAAGTCTTCAGGACGCACAACCTTGAAAAGTGTGGCAGCCATAGCAGCACCGAGCAACTCAAAGCCAATGTACACGATGCTCCAACCAAAGCCTAGACCAGCACTGGAAAGATCGATACCCAGCGCCACCGCTGGGTTGAAGCAGCCCCCTGACACGGCACCAGCTCCATAAGCGCCTGCAACAACACTAAATGCAATGGCCATACCGTAGTATTGATTCTTCTCAGTTGCATTCTTCTTGGCAGCAGCAACATTCATCACCACGAAGGTCAGCATGAACGTATAAAGCAACTCGCACAGGCCAGCATGATACCAAGAGAAGCCCTTCGCTGGTGCCAAGTTGAAAGTCTTGCCGAAGAGCAGTGAGTAAGACACACCAGCCAAAACTCCGGCAGCACATTGGACACCAGAGTACATGCCCACAGTCTTCCAGTCCAAGCCAGGTCCTCCGATGGTTTTCGAAAGTCCAAGAGTCACGGAGACCGCAGGGTTGAAGTTACCCCCAGAGATGCCACCCAGCGCATAAATGCATACCATCAGGACAAATGCAATGGAGACACCTGCCCACATCGGGCTCCCACCTAGGACATTGCAACCAACCGTGAAGATCAGCAGAAATGTCCCCACAAACTCTGCAGTGCACTTGGCCACCATAGTTGGTTCGGCGGCCATGTCTTCTGCAGTCCTTAGGGACGAAGCTACAATCAGCCTAGAGGCAGTGCAGTGCGACTTAGGCTTTTCAATCCTTTGGAGTGTTTTGGTGCCATTGTATTGAATGCTGCCGCTATGCCATACTAACCAACGTATCAACTTTTCGGTTGGTCCCCAGCCATCACTCACTCTCTGGAGTCTGCACAGCTCCGCGAAGTTCCAAGCCCCGCACAAATCGGTTTCTTTAGTAAGCTATCGGGTCGCGTGCAGCTTGTGAACAGGAATGGCTGCAGCCAGGCACGAAGCATCTTGCATTGAATCAGGTATGTACGGTATGTAGAATTGAAACGAACACTGTCAAAACAGGAACCTGCAACATCTTGTGATTGATAATGCTATGTCTCAAGCGTCCGTGATTAAGCCTTTGCAGCCAAGCCTTTGTCTCCACAATATGCTAGTGTTTTGCAAGAATGAATACTAAATACTAGAAGTAGCTTCAAAGGCGTACAAACTTCTGCCAGAGTCCGTCTTTGTTTGTTGGGTACTCGGGCAGTATGTTCATTTTGTTGCAATATTAAAGAGCTTTTATGTCGGATGCTATGTGGTCTGCTCACGGTGCATACGGCTAGGTCCCTGATCGAGCTGCAAGCTGTGAATCAAATTAAATATAGTTAAGTTTCTTTTACTCTGCCTTACTTACAAAACTCCACAACAACACCGCCAATCTTGTCGTGATTCACAGTGTTTGCTTCTGGTTCAGCCAAATATAGAGTCTTCCAAAAATGTTATTGTTCGGCCGATGTCTAAATTCATGGAACATGATGAGGCACAAAGGTAATCCTTTTGATAAATTGCGAACTTCTGCATTTTCGAAAAAGTGTCAGTACGACCTGCGAAAGAGTCTCTTCTGATAACCCAGGCTTTGTGCTGAGGCATTTCCTGAGCAAGGCTGTGGCAAGGAAGTGCTAAGGTACAAGCAGAACACCACCTTTGAAGCAAGAAAAGACACTTTGCATACTTTCAGCCGCGGATCTGCAGGTTTCCTGGCAAGCGCTCCATCAAATGGTCACAGCCTGACTCAACGATCAGCACAATGCTCACAATGCGCATTGTTGGCAAAAATTTGGAAACGAAGTAGATAACCAGAGTCCAGGCAAAGGCTACCGGAGTGGCCATCCAGAACCAAAAACCTCAGGCTTGCAAATAGTGTTGATTTATAAACGCATGAATGCAGTGGCTGGCATCACAGCTGGTCACCGCTGAAATATTGTTGCCAACAATACCTAATCACCTGTACAATACCAAGTCACGTTCATCACTTGGAGTCGCAGCATCTTACTAGCAACTTGCAACGATAACTGCACGTTCATTGTACCCAACTTCCTGGGGCGTCCGGCCCGGCAATCTTTGTGCCTTCTGGTGACTCCAACTCCAGGTCCAGCAGGTACCTTTTTGGGCGCGATAAAATGAAACAGAAAGAAGAGAAGCAGGAACAGGTCCAATCTAAGCTTGGACCGGGATGTAAGTCTGTAGAGTATTTTCTGTCGTACATCGTTTTAAGCAAAAATGCCTGTCACAGTCACTGTGTGCATCAGACTATTCGCTACTCTTTATCACTTTTCAAGGCAGCTCACAACCTCTCGCCATAGCCCTCGACAGGTGGGTGTCCACCACCTTCTCCACACCATTTTGGAAGTGGGTTCATTTCTAGCCATTCACTGGGCAACTTCTTGCGCCAAGTTAAATCACATGGGTGGCAGAACCAAGATACCAAAACGTACCTGCACATCAAGCGAATGTTGACTCAGGGCACTGCAGGCAGCTAAAGTTGCGGTGATCTATCAGTCTTCCAGTTAAGACTGTAAGACTTTTTAGCACAAAGAAACAAATGAGTGTTTTCCCGTTTCAATCTAGCCAAAGCATGTTCACTCGTCGCGTTTCGACAATTGTTGGCACCTTGGCGCAACGCCGTGATGCCGCACGCTGTGCACATAGGTGTCGTCAAAGACCAACGTTCGACCCTCTTGCCACGAGGAGATCTTTCCACCCACCATCATGGAGGCACCTTCTACAGCTCGCAAACCCAAATGCGCCGACAGCCTGCAAAGATCTGCCAAGTTAAAAGGTGAAATCCACAAGAAACAATCCCAAAGGGCTCAAGTCGCTTGAGAAAGTCGCGGGATGCCGCGGGCATCAATTGAAATAACATGAAACAATGACGATGGGGAGATATGTATGGGGAATAATGAAGAACCCTACAGAACTTGCCCCGTTGCCTTGTCCACCAGTCTACTCATTGACGTGTATTCAATTTGAGTCGGCCATTCAACATGTCCCCGCTTCGCCTGCAATGGCTATCAAAGTGAGGTTTAATTTCGTCGCCCGGAAGCAATCGGGCCAAAGCTGCGCCGGCCAAATACCTCAGATGCAAAGCCCCAGTGTTGAACAATGCGTCGAGTCATTCCAATATCTCAATGCCATGTCGGTAAAATGCCATATACAGTAATATCTATTCTTCTATATTCTTCTTCTCTTAATAACACCGCCACGCACCAACAAATCGGCGAGGTAAAGGTGGGCGTCATGAAAACAAAGAAGATATCGATTGGCAAACACCTCCTCCTCATGCTACACTGGTTTGCAATCCAAAAAGCCTTACTCCTCCGACCCCAGCAAGGGAAGCCAGCCAAAGAAGCTATGGACTGTGGTGATGCAGGCAGCAATGTTAGGCAGTGAGCTGGGAGACACATGGCCGGCATGGCGAAGGTAAGGTCTTGGGCAGGTGAACAGGGCCGCAAGCAGTTTGCGCTGAACCATACACTAGATGGTTTGGCGAAGGACAGGTTCCGGGCACGGAAAACGCAAGGCGGAGGGTAGTTTGAACATGGCCGGGAAACCGGTTGAAGAAGTCTAGACGATCCTTTTTGCTGCTGCAGGAAGCAACCGTTGGGAATAGTTTTCCCCGATGCCAGCCGCTGATCTGAAATCAATACGAGTAAAAGCTTCGGCGTGACATGTCGCAGCGAACTGGACGGGGAAGTGGAACCTGGTATGTGAGCACGCCACTTGTCAGCCAACGTCATTGCAAAAGATTGCCAGTTGAAAGCGGGCTACTTGCAACAAGTAGGGTGTGATTTTCTTTGTGGGCAGGCTCCGTTGTGAGCACTTGCTTTTGTTTTATTTATATAGTCAATGAGCAAATGCCGATTACACACATTCGAATGAGGATTGAACCAACAACGGATAAGACATGATAAAATGATAAAGTAATTCACTTTCCTCTTGCACTTTGTTCTCTTCTGCTCTACGTTTTTGTCTTTATTCTCTTCTAATCTCTTTTCTGCATTCCCCCAACACTTTTGGACATGGCATGGCCAATTTATTGGTTTCGCCTTCTTTGCCCAGAAACTTTCTGGAACACCCATTTTGCAACCGTAAAAATGCAAGCCATGCCTCAGTGGATGCCATTCCATTTCACAAATTCTCCACCTCCGGCATTTTGTGGTTGCCTTGTGCCTTCTTGTTCTTTCCAGAGCACATCACGGTGCAAAATTAACATGGAGCCTGAAAAGCACTGGTTTGTGGAGAGTTCTATAGTGTTCCAAGGGTCTATTTTCAGGTTCCAGGTTATATATAATCCGAGTCCGAGTTGTCTTTTTTTCCTTGGCACACCGAGAAGAGTGAGGCGCCTGTCAATGTACAGTTTTCAAATGGAATCTGACAAGTATGATGCGTGCAGCTACCACCCGAAGGTTGACGCAATCCTTGCCAAAGGACAACTAGCCGTTTATGTTTATACAGTGGTATTATTCCTAACATGGCAGCGGCTGTTGCTAACACCTGTGACGGCACCACGCAATGTACAGTCTTGTAAAGCCCATGGGTTTGTGCGGCTCTGGGCACGACTATTCTGCCTAAACACTTTTAACATATTTTAACCAGTGTTATTGTATGTTATTGTTATTAAGTTCCGTTTGTGACACTCGCCAGGTCGCCCCGTCGGTTCACGAACCACACATTATATATATATATATTATACACATGTGTCTGTGTATGGTTTCTCATCTAGAATTTACGAGAATAATCGAGAATAGCATGTATATAACTTACTGCCCACCACAACAACAACAAGATCGAGCACATTCCACATCGAAGTAAAATGGTAAGATGGTGTCACCGATCGAAGGCCGATCTTTCGCTGGTGAAAGAATCGTTTCTTTGCTTTTACCCTTTGCTCATTTGTGACTGAACATTGCGCTTCCTATCCGTTTTGAGGAAGTGAGAAATGAACTGTGAACCGGTTTTCTTGATTTGAAGGTCCTGAGCTTCAGTAGCTCTACCAATTTGCCAAGCTGCGTGGAGCAGTTGCCATCAATCTCTGGTCGCTGCGCCAAGATGTCACAGCTGGGTTGTAGTGCTGGCAACGCGCAAAGCTCTGCAAAACCACCACCTGAGTGACCATCAAAGCGAACGTGCAACATTAGCTACCGGATGGCGTCAGCCTGACGGAGCTTTCCCAAAATACAAACTTTCGACACCATCAAGGCTTCATCGGCCTCGCCGTGGGAAGTTCCGGGAAGTTCCAAAACAACTGCCAATCACGGCAAAGAAGAACTTGCTACGCCGCTGCTACGCTGTAACTGTATGTGTGTATATATATATATACTTGAGAGAGGAGGGGGTGAACGAAAGGTAGCAGGCAATCACAAGTAACCCTGGTAGAAGTCCATGACGGCGTGAACCGGCGCAGGGTGGATTTGATCCAGGGGGCGGGGGACCCCCCCGTGCCATCGACGCTTGGCGTCCATTTTGCGGCTGTAACCTGTTCATTTCCAAACATGGATTGAGATGTACCTGTGGCTCCATGACCGAAGGTAATTGTTTGCCGATGTCTCCGTGAAGACAGCAGGCATTTATGTGACTGTCAGCGATAAGTTACAATACCATGTTCAGATGCAATCACCAATGGACAATATATTGATTCTGGCATCGATGCCAGAAGGGAAATATATATATATATCACATTACCAATGTATATGTATTGAATTTATATTAACATTTAAATATAAAATGTAAGTTCGTATATATGTATACATAAAATCTGCTTCATCTGCTTCATATAGTTATCTATCTATATATATATAAATACTTCTGTGTGCATGTGTGCCGACAGTAGAGATCGACCGCAAACTGTTTTTCTCGGTCTCTGATTTCATATCCCAGCGCTACGCAAGAGGCTCAGCAGTAGCTGGACCTGAGGGCCGCTGTGGTTATGTCTTGAGATGGGATGTTGACCGTCTTCTTCATGGGTCTTGTGGTTTTGATGGAGACGAACTTATGAAACTGTCGTGAATTTCGTCTCCTGAGTGTTGAATCATGTAATGACCAACATTGAGAACCAGGATGCTTGTACTATTTCATTCAGTCCGAAAGGAACTTGTTGGTTGGTTCTTTTACCTATAACCCACGCAATAAGTATGAAACAAGTCTAAATCGCCCGGGACAGGCGAGTTGTTCACAATATGAAGCTTACTAGTTTGACATACTGGAGATTTTGATATTTTGAGTTCACGTGGCTGACAAGGTATTTCAACAAGGAGTTTCTGTCATTGTCGTAGCAATATTGATAGCCATTAATCTTTACATTGTTCAAAGTGTATCGGCGTCGAATCGTCATCAACCTTGAAAAAATGCCGTGTGGCATCCATGTACCAATGATTGACCAACGATCCAAGTATTATTTAGTATGGACGGCGCACTGCATTGTCGACTCTTAACGTTTCATGTAGATGTGGGCTTGGTCAATTTGAGTTGTATTAATGAATAATCTATCGAGAAAGCAAAACAGTGTCAAACATGAATGCTGGAGCAAATAGTTAGTAGCTTTTTTTCTCAGCCAATGAGTTTCTTGGTAGTCAAGGAACAATGAAGTAGTTTAATGGCTATAGAGTCACCATTTACTGTTGTCTGGCGAAACAAATGCTTGGCCGGCTGTTGGTTGCCATGGGGAGATCTGGACGTATGGTGGCGCCACCGCGTAAATCTACCGTGGGTTTAAATTAAATTCTACAAGACAACCCAGCATCCTTCAAGAATTGCAAGGGGCCATGCTTCTATGGACCGATCACGACCGTGTTGGTTGATCATCACGCACCACTGCATCACTGATCAGCAAATATATGATTAAGATTGGTTAGTAAGCGTTGAAATAAATGTAAGTTGCCCAAAAATGTGACTGATGCGGTTGGCTGCCACTCGGCCAGGTTAGAGTAGTTAGAATATGAATTATGCGCGAGATACTTTTACCTAAAGAAAGAACGAGCCTTTCCTAAAGAAAGAAAGTGGGTCCGAGATATGGACATCCCATGGTCAGGTGACCCAGGTGTCAAAACTTCTTTAACGGTGACATCACAGGGCCCTCCGGCCTGTAGGCTGAATTGGAGGCATGTTCGTCGGTGGAACCTGCCGTTCCAGTGGTCGTGCGAGGAAAAATACATGGTCTTGGTGGGGCCGTGGTCTCTTCATGTTTCTGGTAAAAATATTTTGGGTTCCACAGCTTGAAGCATGTTTGTGGAATGGACTTCCGTCGGTGAAAATATACGTGGAATGGGCATCGCAATCAACTACAAGGACAAAACGGGGTACCAGACAGTTGGATTGAATATAAGGACCAGTTTCCAATGTCAAAAGGATAGCATGGCCAAAAAGAACGTTCCGCGCAGCCGAAGAAGACGCGGAAGCACCGGCGATTCAGGTGGAGCTGGTCAGTGCAAGTATCAAGCGTCATGTCCATTGCGTAGAAGTAAAGTATCATAACATCGTGGCGGTGTATAGGTTCGTCGTTGGCGAATCCGAAATCTAAGTGCGGGAATCTTTACGCTTGTGGGGGAGATATTTGGGCTTGTATGTTATAAGAAGGATAGAAGCTTCAGTGTGCACAGCGCCTCCAGCGGAGTATTGCTGCAGCACAAACTTTTCCACTCAGAGGAGGATGGCGGCCGGAACATGGACCTGGCCGGGGACGTGTCATCTCCATGTTGCTTGCCTACACTTGCAGGAACTCAAAGGTTCGTGAAAGTAGTTGCTTGAACACATTGTGGAAATCTCTGTATATACGTGAAGCTACGTTGGGCGCGCGAGTGGATAGGAAGCGTCTACGCACATGGTGTGTCTGGGCCTGAGTACAGACGCGCGTGTGTAATGACTATGCGTGAGGCATGGGATGTGTCAGCATGATAATACAGACGGTTAATAAGAGCGCAGGGAAGCAGAAAAAGGTTTTAAACCTAGCAGCATACCCATGTACAGCTATCTGGTCCAGATGCTGGCTGTCAATCGACATGCGGTGACGGTGACTTGCCTCACGCCGGGGGGTCGCGGGAAGAGGCGGACTTCGCCGCTCCTCGATGCGTTCGCCTCAGGGCGGCTGATGTTTTTGGCGCACTGATGTTTTTGGGCCTAGTATAGAATGGGCTGGGCGGGTGGGTGGACAGCACATGGTAAGGTCATTGACGCTACCGCAGAGCAGGTTCACATAGGTTATGGTAAGTAATGTCCGAATTTAAGGCTTGTCATTGTCGCATGCGAGGCTCGTCATTTTCTGTTTACATGTGTCGGTTGAAATGCCTGAGTGTCACATGTCCAGGTAAACCCTACCTCGCAGCGCTTCCAATCGCAGGTGAGGCTCTTCTTCTGAGTGAAAACAGCGCGCTTCAAGGATCTCTTAGGACCATCGCGTCGCTGGCGTTCGAGCTTCCTGTTCTGCACTTCCTGGGTCCATTGCTTGGCTTGTTGGGCCTTCCTGGCCTTCCGAGCGGCCACTTTCTGTGCATCCAAGCTGTGCACAGGTTTCCGGAGGTCTTGTCGAGAAAGGATCGGTTGAACGAGTCCAACCTCTAAAGGTGGAAGGAAGCCAGTGGCCAATGTGCCCTGCATCAAACTCAAAATTTCAGCCTCTTTTCTTTGTGCCAGTGTAGGGCTGTAAGCCGCGGAATGATGCGCTAGCATCTTTGCCAGGCTGAAGGCTGCCAGCTGCGGTGGGAATGCTTGGATGCGCTGTTGGGTGATTTGCTCTTGGCAAACTTTCAGCTGGAAGTGCAAAGCCTCATTGCTGCAGGTTCTGAAGCTGAGGAGCTGCACCTGGTGCGGTGGCATAACATCATGGAGAGCCGCAATGATATGGGAGCCATTCCACAAGTACCGAAAGTGAGAGTAAGACTCCTGCCATCAATATTTGTCGGATTGTTCTGCCCTTCTTGTCCTTGCGACCCATCTGGCCGGGATGTTGCGCGCACAGGGCTTGGATGTCATCAATGAACTCCTGGTGTGACTTACAGGGCATCGCAAGTCGCTGTGGCCAATCGATGTCCGTAACACCTAGTGCCTTCTGGTCAGACCACGTGCCTTCCTCACGGAGGTTGTCGGCGGCTGCGCCATGGAAGAAAGGCCCGGGGCAGGGCAAGCGGAAGCACAACATCACTTGGAGCAACGAAGAAGAAAGAGAAGTCCGCTTCTCGCCTGTGCAGGCCTCGACGCGTAGCATCGGCCACCGCTTGCAACTGAGGCAAAACGTCGTGAGCACCCTCCACTGAACCAGGATTGTCGGAAAAGAGGTACTTCACTGTGGCCCGCGCCGATCGTGGGAGGACTTCCTGAATAGCCGCCTTGAAGTTGTCCACTCCTTCTGTCCTTTGCAGGCTGAAGAGTGGGACGGCTCCAGAACGGCCCAAGAAGGTATGGAGAGCATGAAACTCACCAGCCTTCTGCTTCATGGGCACCTGTCCAATGGCAGGGAAGAGAACTTGGTAAGTGGCGCCATGACTGCAAACGACCCATTCGTCGTTCTCAGTGGCCGCATCAAGTAGCCTAGCCCGAAGCTGTTGCGCAGGTTTCAGAGCCATCACCTGTTCGAAGACGGCTTGGCGGGTGTCCTGGCGGCGGCAACCAAGCCACGCACAAGGGCTGCCTTAAGACACCCATTCAGTCGCAATGTCATTGAAGATGGTATGGATCTTGCCCTTGTGCCGGATAGCTTTTGCGAGCACCAGGTCTGCAAAGTCACTTGCGATGTAAAGCATTTTGTTGATTCTGAGGGCCTGCGCTGTGTGTTGCTTGGGGACATAGTTTGGCCCATTCCTTGTCAGCAGCAAAACCAGGTCGACAAAATTTTGGGCTGACACAAAGCGAAGAGATTCTGCGTCCAGACACTCGAATGCATCGGGACGCTTCCGACAAGAGCTTCTCACCAGGTGCATCCTGCAAAGTGAGAGGACTCAATGCCTGACACGGAGGCACACTTTGGACCATGTAGACATGTATATGAATGGTTCTATATGTACCGAAACCATTGCAATATTGAGATAAATTGGTAGAGAGGTGGATACAAACATTGAAGCAAAGCCCCCCGAAACCTGCCGTTGCTCGAAGATAGCGCAGGCCACATGAAACTGGTACTTCAACGTGACAAAGTCTTTGTCTGCTTTGTGGTCCTTTTCCATGTGGGTGAGCAAGGATGACCTTCTGCTGAATTTCTGGAAGGGGCATAAGATGCACTGAGAGGATGAGTCGGTATTGGTGCGTCCGACTGCGTTCTTGACGCCTCAGAATCCGCAAAGACATGTCTACACGGTAGGGCCGTAACAAGTATGTCAGAAAGTCTGTTCATAGCATCTGGCTTTTAAATCTTTACATCTGGCCTTTGAAAACTTATGTAAGTTTAGGCATTTCAAAAGTTTCAAATTCTTTTTTGCAGTAAGTTTTT